TAAACAGATTTAGGTAAAAAAGCAAGAATAAGTTTGAAACTCTTACAAGAGTTTAATAATAGAGAAGGCTTTGGGATGCCAGATTGGGAGTTATATTACCAGGCATCTGCACTTATGTGGCTAAAAGAATGGATAAGCTTGAGACATAGATGATTATTAACTTTGGAGGGACACGATTTGCAATGGGGGTGCATGCCTTTCAATGGTATGGGAAAAATAAAATACACAAATATTTCCAAAGACACTATATCAGAAATGCTCTGTTTTCAGTGTGGATAAAAATTAAGGAAAAACAGTATTTGAAAATACCAGTCTGGTTCTCCAGGATGGAGGCATTGATACATCCAAATGTGGTAGATATGGAAAAAAAATCATAAGATATAAAGACATTTTGAATGAGTAAGGGGAATTGAAAAGCAAGCAGGAACTGAATAGTCAAGGGATAGATTTAGCATTGTGGCCGCATAAAGAACCAACGGAGCTGGACCAGATTCTAACAGGAACTGATGAAAAACTAATTAAAAAAATTATTCCTATCTCCTGAGTATTAGAATGAAAGAACAACAAATAAAGGAAACAATGATAGTGTGGGCTAAAAATTTGGCTATTCTATAGAATTGGATAAATGGCAAAAGTTGTGGGATAGAAATTATAAATTAACAATGTCAACTGCATATAAAAAAAACTTATTTAAATTTTTTTACAGATGGCATTTCTTACCAGCAAGATTAGCTAAGATGTTTAAAGATACGTCTGCTGAATGTTGGAAGTGTAATCAGATTCCGGGCTCATACTCCCACATTTGGTGGACATGCCCAAAGGCAAAAGCATACTGGGTAAAGATACATACTTGGATAAAAAAAATCATAAAGGAACATATAGATTTAAAACCAGAAATATTTCTGTTGGGTATTATACCAAAAAAAATATAATAAAGGGACTATGTATCTAATACTACATGTCTTAACAGTGGCCAGAATTATATTTGCACCACATTGGAAAGATGTGGAGGTCCCTACAGAATAGAAGATAATTAAAAAATACTAGAATGTGCAGAAATGGATAGACTAACACTTGAAATTAAGAGAAGGAAGATACAAAATATTTGAAATGTGGGATTTGTTTTATCAATGGTTAACTAATAGAAACAGAAGTAAGAACAGTGATGTGCAGTCAGGTGAGGCAGGTGAGGCACAGCCTCACCGCTCTCATCATGAAAAGAAAAAAAATGTAAAAGGAAAAAGGCGAGTGCTGAGGTGAGGCTAGGTAGCTGCTGCTTCACCGTGAATGACTGTCTAACTGTTTAAAAAAGCCTCTTAAAAAGCGCACTCTACTATGAGGCAGGAGAACTGCATGCGTCATCTAGTGTGACTTTTTAGGCGTTTTATGATCGCTCAAGCAGAGTTAAGTGAGGCTTAAAAGCCTAAAACGTCCCGAGGTAGGTGAGGCATGCAGTTCTCCTGCCTCATAGTACAGGGCGCTCGTTCTCCCTGTGACTCATCGACACCGCTGCTACCTCTCTTCCGTTTTTCTTCCCTTCTCGCTTGCAATACAGTGATAATAAAGGGGGAGCGCAGAGTCATGCCTTCATCTCTTCATTGATTTCCCTTTTTACGGGATGAGCCGGCTTCCTGCTTCTTTCATTTTCTGGAGGTCTCACTTCTTTCTCCATTTCTGCCATTTTTTATTTTATTTTTTTGTTTGGTGTGTGTGTGTGTGTGTGCGCGCGCGCTTGTGTGTGTTGTGCACACATGGGTGCATGCAGATTAGATTAGATTAGATTTAATGAATTTATAGGCCGCCCAATCCCGAAGGACTCCGTATCTACGTTGGTGGAGATGAAATGGCTGCTGGTATTATTTGGGAAAAAGCTTTCAGGGGAAGGTTGTGGAGAGGAAGGGAGGGAGGACGGGGGTGGCTTTTAGCACTGATTTGTTTCCCCCTCTTTTCTCTCTCTCTCATTCTCTCCTTCCAGCTCTCTTTCATTTCTCTCTCTCTNGGAGGGAGGGAGGGAGGGAGGGAGAGAGAGAGAGAGAGAGAGAGCGGTTCTCCCTTATGCCTGAAAAGCAAAATAGATAGATGTCACTCAACCTTTCAGCCAAACCAATGGCTTTAAATTGCCATAGACATCTGTAGTTTCTTTGGGGATGCTTTGTGTTTAGTTCTTGGGTTGAGAATGCAACACAGCACTTTGTAGCCATTTGACAGAAGAGCCATGTGCTTTCTAGATTGCAAGGTATTTTCTGCTTCAAGGTGGCTTGTGTTGTACTTACCTGATGCTGGAAACAGATGCTGCTAAAACAATAAAAATAACAGAATAACAGAAAAATAACAGAGTAACAGGAAAAACAACAACAGAAAAATAACAGAATAACAGAATAGCAGAGTTGTCTAAAAGAGATTGGACAATTATTTGTCTTAAATGGTATAGGTTCTCCTGCTCAAACAGGGTTGGACTAGAAGACCTCTGAGATCCCTTTCAAGGTCTTTTTCTTCTCTATTATTCTATGTTCTTTGTTGTATGATATCTTGATCAGGAGAAGGTAGCAAGCAACTAACAGTTGAATAATGTTTTTCTCAATTGATAGTATCATATTAGAGTTACATTAGTAAAAAAAAATTTTTTTTTTGCAAATTTCTCAGTTGCTTCCTTTAGCTATAAGAAGAGGTAGTTTTGTTAAGAAAAGAAATATTTTCTTTCAAAATACTCTTGTGTTGGTTTAAAACACCCTTCTGATTGGAAATGGCAGTGGGTTAGGGTGAGAATTACAGCTGGTTTTGTGGCTTTTTCCTTAACACATTTTGCCTCCTTAGGTGCTCTTCTGCCCAGTGTGGAAAGCCCCTTAGGAGGAGGTCACTCATTCTATCTCACTGGCCATGGATTTTATAGAGTCAGAGAGAAAATTTAAATATCTTGAAACACAAGTCATTCCCCCATACCCTTAGTGACCTTACAATAAGGTGACCAGACGTCCCGCTTTTGGCGGGACACCCACGCTTTTTGATGCATTTTCCCGCGTCCCGCCCGCTTTTTA